CTTCATCAACATTCAACACTCGTTGAGTTACATCTCCATTCTTAATTGAACGAACGATTAATAGATCAGCTTATAAATTTTCAAACCTCTGATCGTTTCATAACAGCAATCTCAATGTTTTGAGCCCCAGATTGAACTACTTGAGATAAGGCTTTGACTACAAATTTCAAAGTAGTGGGTTCATCCTTTATGGTATCGTCTCCATAATGCTCCTCAAGATATTCACGAACTGATTTTTCTCCTCTTCCAGTCGAGTTAGCCTGAAATACCGATTTAAAATTCAATTTTTGATAGTTCGCACCAAATACTCGTAGTAAGCACCAGAAGGCTCTGTTTTGAACAACCTGGGGGTTCCATCATGATCAAATCCACCGATCAACATTGAAATACCAAACGGTCTTCTACCCGGAGATTGCGTGAAGATCTGGGAGAGAGAAAGTGAAAAATTAAGATTCAAGGAGTACTTGTTTCGTATTCGCAATGTAACGTGAGATGTTTGCTACAGTTACGGGGTCTTCCAAAGTGAGCTTGTAACTTTGACACTCCATTCTAGCACGATCAACCAAGACACGAGCGTCGGCAGAAAGGCCTAAGGAAACTGTGAAAATACCAAGTTGTACGAGACATACCGGCAAAAGCAAGCATTACGTGATCATCAATCATATGAATTTTGCGAATAGTACGATCATCTTGTAAATCAGGAATACTTTTTTTTTCAACTCCAATTACAACACAATCTTTTCCACGAACACCAACCTAACGAAGTAGTGATTTGAAAACGGATTGAAAAACGACAACTTACGGCCGTCGATCCTTTCTTCACTGCTTCCTGAGCATACTCTACTTGGAACAAATGTCCATCAGGTGAAAATATAGTGATGGCACGATCGTAACGCTCCATTTCTTAAAAAAAATTAAATAATTCAAATATTTTGTAAGCATATAGAAACGAGTTAGAACCACCATCACCTTAATATAAAGGACTGAATGACTTTAAAAAAGGCACATACAAATTGAAACCTACCGTACCACCACAGACCTTTAACTTTTTTTCAAACAACTACGTAAGTGGTTACGTTTGAACTAGCCCATAGAGCTAGCTTGATATTTGCATATTTTTTTTATAATATTCTCGTAAAATTGCTGTTTCATGTTTTAACTACAATTATGATTCTATTTTCAAGATGCCTTATGCTAATCAACCCATTGTTACTATCTTGAACTTATCTGACGACCAGGTTAGATTCGTTTTAGAAGACACAGATCTTAGTGTTGCAAATTCATTGAGGCGTGTTTTTATAGCTGAGGTAGTATAAGAACATTTAATTTTCGAATAAATGAATTTCTTTAAGGTGCCAACAATGGCAATTGATTGGGTTCAAATTGAAGCAAATAGTAGCGTTCTTCACGATGAGTTTATAGCTCATAGGATGGGCTTGATTC